AAAAAAAAAAAAAAAAAAAAAAAACAAACAAACAAAAAAAAAAGTTGAACCGCTTTCGCAATTCGTTACGATATATATGTTTGAAATCGCAAATAAAATAAAATACCGACCGCGTTCATTAATGAAATAACAAAAATTTGATCGAGAGCGAAATTTGATAGGGGGATGGCCTAAATAAAAATTCAGGAATCGCGCGTTTTATCGAGTTTCGCGTTTTGATAATTCCCGTCTCTTGATTTCACTTTGCAAAAAAAACTTGGCAAAAAATTGTTATTGTAATTTCCAAAGAATCGAGAAAGTTTCGAGTCGAATTTTTCATAATGATTTTTCGATCGGATTCAAGGGTGGAAGGTGGAAAGGGGAGTAAGAGGATCGCGATATCCGTTGAAAATCATAGGGCATCGAGCTACGATGGTTCCCGATGGACCATCCGCTATATAATCTGGTCTCATTAGAATGGTATCGAGCAATTAACAGAATTTCTCTGGCGCGCATGCACGAATATCAAGGGATATACTAGGGGGAGATGCTGCAATCGGGAGATCGTCATATTGCGCTACGATCAAGTTTCGTTGTCAACCATACAGAATAGTGCTTTTAGCCGATCTCGATTTTCCATTTTCCCCGGGTTAGACATTACGGCGGCTCGAAAATCCAGTTTTATCGCTGGGATTGGGAGGAGGAGGAGAGGAACGGCATTTTTGGAAAATGCCTTCAAAAACGAACGACGAGGATCCACGCTAGTGGATTAGAATTGAAAGATAGCGACTTTCGAAAAGATTCTAATTTCTAACTTAAGAGCTATAATAATTCTGATATTCAAAATCGTAAAAATTATTTTGATTAAAATTAAGATTATCTTCGAAACTATTAAATATTTTGATATAATATTAATATATATATATAATACGTCTAGTTTATTCGTATCCAAAATTACATTTATAAAATTAAATTATCGTTACGAATCGTAATTAACCTGTGCATATTACAAATAAACAAATTTTTATATTATATCGATCACGTTAGAATTCTATGTCTACGCTGATGCATCGAGGTTTGTAGATACAGATCGTGGAGACTAGGCGCGTGAAAATTTCCTTTCAAATTAACCAATCAGAAATCCGCATTCCTTTCCGCGAGACTTGTTTCCACCACAGTGAACGACAGTGTTTTCCACTAGATTCTCCATGTTCGTGTCATCGAATCATTTTCGAAAATGAATGAATTAATTTCGACAACAAGCACCGTGTTCGTTTATTCGAATCGTAATGTCGCTCGTAAATAAGGATCTTTCATCGGTTGGTTTATTACTCTCGTATCGATGCACGCTAAGAATTCGCTCGGAGCTCCGTTCGATAATTTCAATTTCCTATAGAGACACGTTCGGTTTCATCACGGTTCTTTGACTAGTCTCGCGATGAATACTAATGGTATCGATGTCGTGTTTTTAACGATGATAATGAAACCTGCCGATCGATCTCATCGTTTAAACATGCCAGCTATTTTCAGAATTTCTGAATTTAGAATTTCCGATATATAACGGGGGAAAAAAATATTATAACGTTTTACAATGGCTACGTATGTATGATTATGGTCATCGTGCAGCTTTTGTATTTTATTTTTATAATATTTGATTATAATTTTCTGTAGTTTTAATTTAGATTTGTATCGATACGTATAGTAGAAATTGATTAAAATCTGAACATTGAGAAAATTTGTATGAACGAGTAATTATAATGCATATTAGAGAAAATAAAAATAAAGGAAGCTTAATTTAATAATATGCATAAAAAATTTTTTTATATGATTCTTTATATGATATAAGTTTATTCGAGTTGTATAAGTTATTTACCATCGAACAGTTTGAAATATTCAAAAATATCTGCAATCTATTTTCTCTGTTCCACGATATTGCATACACTGAAATTTTTCATCTCTATAATCCATATAAAATTCCAAACAATAACATTACAATGTTTCTATAATTTTTGCGCGAATAAATCTTCTCTATGTACATTTCACAATTCGGAAAACACTTCTTCTAATCTTCTACAAAATATACAGATTGAAATTCTTTGACGAAAAGCTATTTATAAAAATACACGATTCGATATTAATTAATATTTTAACCTGGATTTTTCCATTTTTACCTGGATATCATTTACATTCGTTATCCGTTTTATCATCTTAATATAATACAATTTAATACGATTCGTTCGATAAGATAAATTTTACAATATAATAGCATAAAAAATTCGAATGTAAATAATATAGAGTCTAGAGAAATGACGTTCCATATATGAAACGTTTGCTGAAACTATTTAACAACTCAAATTCTTTAAATATCAACTTATCAAGAATTATTTCAATGATAAACGTTTACCGAATATCTACATAAACAAGATGTCAACAAGATCGTTAGTTACATTAACCAGTTCGCAATACTCTTCGTGCGATGTTACGTATGAAATATAACGCTATAAATGTTTACTTTCCACTTGAAACGCGAAAGTAAAATGTATCTTCGTTAATGCGATTTTTATTAAATCGTCGGAATGACAAGACTCGTGAAATGTTCAAACTTGTAAATAATCGA